CTCTCATCTTTTTAAGTGGGAGAACTTGCACAATTGGTGGCTGACTAAATACTTTTTTGCCCCACTATATATATATATAATGTATATGTATGTGTGTGTACATATATATATATATATATTTACACACAAACAACAGTAAACCATGCACAAGGCAGGGACACCCAGGAACAATTTATTATTATTAACAATCTAAGCAGGTTGTCCTGCACTTTTATTTAGCAATGTGTCACACAGAGTTTTCAATGCAGCAGGGCTTTATACAGCAAGTCCATTGCATAAAACCAACAAAACATCTGTTTGATGGGTTTCCAACATCAGATTGTCAGCACATTTTTTGCGTTCTGCCCTCACTCCGCCTTTTCACCCAGCAGCAGGGTCCCAAGGTAGAGAGAGGGAGAAAGACCTCGGCATCTGTCAGCACACATATAAAAAGGCCTATGCACAGCTGAGACCAATGAGATCTGGCTAACCGTTAAGTTGTGGACCTAGTTTTGGAGGCTTTATCTCTAAAATGCTCCAGAACAGAATTTAATAACATTCTGAGTAAACAAGACGTTTGTCCACATGAACCATAAATCCTGGAGCCCCTCACCATGTGTAGGTGAGAAACCTAGGTGACACATATACATACTCCTTTGGTTTGTTTGCTTGTCTACTCACAAGGACTTGTTAGTGGAAGGTTGAATCCAGTTTTCTGAGTACACTAACAAAGAATAATATCTATTATTGTTACATGGCAGTTATCTATATATTATTTTGGTGACAAAGGGAGCCAAGATCTGACATCAGCATGTGTGCTTTCTATATAGTTAAGCAACATGATAGACAGTTTTCAGTGGAATTTAATATTACATTTGCTCCAGAATTCTGTCGATAATGCAGCATAAGAAATGCCTGTGCCAAATTCAAAAACACACTGCGCCATTTTCCAGACTTCTACCGACTCCTGCGCTTTCAATTCAAGTAGTTCTTATTTGCACCATATTTCATTCTGGTGCTGTGCTTGTAAAATATTCAATAAATAAACTGACAGTTTGGTAATAAGAAAAGCAGTGCAAAGTAAGACTAAGTACTTTTTGACATAACTAGTCTGTCACACATTTGTTCCAGACACCATACAAACCAGTTTTTTACCTTAGAATCCCCCAGCATACTGTTGATATCCAGACGCTTGTTAATAAGGGCTTTTCAGCACCATCATGCATAACTCCTATCCGCATTAACATAAACTGTTTTGTAAGCACTGGCAAAAGTGATTAATTTCGAAATGCGTCCCTTGATACCATCTGGGGAAAAAAATAGACGCTGCCTTCTCTCATATTCCTGTTTTTCAAATGTGTCTTAAACATGCTGATTCCTAAACTGGACAGCTGCAGTGAGTTACACAACCAGTCTGTTTGTTGCAAAGCTGGGGTTTGTAACGTTAGATACTAGGTGGCTTTTTTGCTTAAGTTTATCAAGCTGTGACGCCGTAACTGTTTTGCATGGTGTCTCCTGAGAACTGAGACCCAAGTGTGTGTAAGACTGTAAATAGCATAGGTAGTCTTGCAATAGAGGTCTTATCCGGTCAAAAGAATGTTCCCCAGTTCCTGTGTAAATGCCACATAGGTACACTCAAATTTAGACATCCTTGTTATGAAGGATTCCTTGTTCCTTGTAAAATTAAGCATCGGTTTAAAGACAATTTATAGTGTGTTCACATATATTGTATATATTTTTATTTCCTATTTTGAGGACTAAACATTAAAATAAAAGTTTATTTTATGTTCTCTTAGTCAGATAATTATGAAATATTGCACATAGTTATTTCATGATTTCCAGTGAGCAGGTGGTGTTGTAGGCTCCTTTTGCACATGCTTAACAAACTAATTTTGCTTGGGTTACTGGAAAAACTGTCTACAGAGTTCAGCAGCTGAAACTGAAATCTACCCACTTTCACACATATGAGTGTTTGCCAGATGCGTTGTTCCCTTAAAATCAATGAAAATTAATTTCGTGACACACATCAATGCCCGTTGAAGTGTGTTATAATGCATGTTGACTTGCAATGTTATTTGCATTGCAACACACATTAAAATGGAAAATGCAACAGATATAAATGCATCAGTGTGAATAGGTCCCAAGTCAGAGGAGTGACCCCCCACACCTTCCCTACCTTTTTGTCTGCAGAGGGGTCATGTGGAGATTCAATCAGAGATGGTCTAAAGGTAAACAGCTTCTGCTGTTCATTCATAATGCTTTACAAGTGCAATGGGTACACCTTGTTTTCAATGTTTATTTTTAAAATAAAGATTTATTAAGATTTATATAGATTTGTATTAAAGGAATACCGTATACAGGGCTGCAACAAACCTGTTTTTATACTGAATAGCCAGCAGGAGCACAATTCTGATGTATTGCACATCTATTTCTCAGGAAAAGAAATGCACTTTGCCTTAGCTTAAAACACGTCAAACTGTGTCTCTGCTGGCTACTTCGTAAAAGAGAACATGTTTGTTGCGTCCTGAAGTGCGGTATTCAACAAGAATCTATGATTCTTGGGAAAGGAAGCGCTGCCTACTACCTGGGATGTGACTTTGAAGTGCTGAATGTTCTCACCTGGAGTAGTATTTTCTAGAGATATGTATAAAAGAATTCGTATAATTAGAAAAACAAATTGAAGCAACAACTTAAAACCATCAACTTTTTAAAGTTAAATAAAATTTACCTAATGCTCTCCCCATCTGTTTAACGCAGTTCTATAAAAGGATTCTATTATGAAGAAGAGTGGTTGGACATGAATAACTTTGATGCATAGGGATCTATTAATAATTTGTTTTAAAACAAGATTAGCACAGCTAAGTTTAGACATAGTATAAAAGGTATATCTGTAAAAAATAAGACAGGTTAACTGGACTTGCTGTATTTTTCTTGAAGACGTTTCACTGGTCATCCAAGCAGCTTTCTCAATTAAGAATGACTTGTACAAAAAGTATCTGGGAATAAATAGATGAATGTTGCTCCAATCCACATAATATGTTAGTGGCAACTGTGGATTGGAGCAACATTCACCATATTTATTCCCAGATAATTTTTTGTACAAGTCATTCTTAATTGAGAAAACTGGTTGGATGACAAGTGAAACGTCTTCAAGAAAAATACAGCAAGTCCAGTTGCCTTGACTTATTTTTTACAGATATACCATGCCTGGATGAATGAGAACCTTCACAGACAAAGTATAAAAGGGCTATAACCCCGCCAACTTTTTGTGTGCCCCCACTGAGCAAATTTCATCTTGCTTCCTGTTCCAGGCACAACAATCTCCCCAATGTAACTTTGACAGTTATCTTAAAAAGTGAGAGTTTACCTCCACAGTGGGATCACTGACATCAATAAAATCCTAACAGAGGTTCAAAGCATACCCTACTCCCTAAGTTTTGTACTTGTAGCTACATTGTATGTGTTTAGACGGACCTGTTCATTTTCATTATTAGGGGTATGGCTTGGCTCTGCAATGCTGTTTGGAAATCAAGGTTCTGGAGATGCTTGGGAGACAGTTTTATACAAGTCTTTGAGTAGTTATACAGAGGAAAGCAACATGTTCTCTTTAATCCTCCCTCTCCAGCAGCACATACTCCCCTATCTTTCAATTCACCCCCACTTCGTCAGCAGAAAGCAAGAAAAGTGTCTCCTATAGAAGCTTGGTGTTGTAGCTTACGCAGTTATGGATGTCAAAAGACAGCACTGTCATATGGAGTAAGTCAAATGCTCCTCCATCTAGACCTTCCAGGTATTTTCTTTGCTCCCAAGAGCTGAATAGGGCATCAGGGGAGCAAAGAGTATAAGTGCTGCTAAGAGGGAAGGGATAAAAGTGAACCCATTTTTGTCCTGGATGGGTAAAACATGGGTTTGCCTGAAGCCCTGTTCTCACCTTACAAGGGAAGTTGATGTTAATGAAGACTATGTACTTGTACTATGTTCATGTTAAATAAAGTTTTTGTTGACCATGTTTCCAAAGAATAATGTTTTTTTCCCCAAGTAGAAATCAGCTTGTGATGACATGTATTTATATGACATTTGACTTTGCTGCATGATATTTTATTATGTTACTAACCACAGGAAACCTTTCTCCTCTAACCTGTTCTAACTGTCCTATGTAATAATTTTAACAAGTTTGGTTTGTTTGCTTAACTAACTTTTTGACCTTTTCTGCTAATGCTGCGTGGTTGTCTGGCAACCAATCAGGACACTACATTGGGACACTGATCCATCAGTTCTTCAGCTCCACTCTGACCATGAACTGGGGTACTTCAATCATTTTCTGTCTGTTATATTTTCATATACAGTACTGTCTATAATGTTAGTTTAACCCTGCAAATGCAGAAAAGTGAATGTCAAAAGAGATATTTTCTTGCCTGAGGCTTTGATCCTGTAAGACGAGGGTTTTCCCAAAAGATTAAAAATAAAAATTAATTTTGCTTTCTATAACAATAAAATGATCATCAACTTTAGTTGATTTTTCAGTTTGATTGGTAATTTCCACTCGTATGCCTTTGCTCATACAGTTCTGCCAGTTGTCAGAATACCTGACAGCAGGCTGCAAGCACCGTTCGGCCAACAATTTTCCAACATGTTCCTTAGGCAAAAGTCGATCTAATGATCGATTTTTGTCAAGGTAATAGGGTCTCCAACTGACCAAATATCGCCTGATTCCTGCTGAATTGGCTGAAATTTACTCCGTGTGTACCCAGCTTTAGTTCTGGTGTGATATAATTCAATCATTTTTCAAATGCCACCCTTAGTAACCTAACCAGTGCACCAAAATATGTATGCATACCATCTGTGCATTGCTATAAAAAGAAAAAAAGTGCACTAAAATGTCTGTTGCAGTACATTGTGGGTTGCCTTACCAGAATGCACATTACCCAACAAAACTCAAGTTTACAACGCAAAAAATGGCAGCAGATAAGATCAAGCAAATGGAAAGGTTCACATGGGCACGGCAATCCACATAACAATACAAATATTTCCCAGCACACTCTCTCCAGCTACTTGGCACTACTTAATATGCGGTTTAAAAATTTAGGTCAAAAACTGATGTTTTGTTACATATATCTGAAAATAGATGTGAAAGTGCATCAAGGCACCTCTGCAAAGTGTGGTTTCTAATTCTAAACTATTAAATACTATAAGCAATGGGAGACTGAAATCAGCGGCAGTGTAGAAGGGTACAGCCCACCCCTTACAAATTAATATAATAAAATAGGCAAACACTACACTTTTCAGTCTGCTCAGTGCAATTACTTAGTATTCTCAATGAAGTGGTAAAATCAGATGATGTCCTCACTCAAACCTGTATCCTTACTCGGGACTATCTGAGCTCCCAGCTTGGGACATGGATATAGATATAGATATCTATATATATATATATATAGATATATCTATATATATATATCAATCAATGAATAAATAAATCATGTTAACACACATGTGGTGACCTGCCTCAAATGTGTGAATTGGGCCTTAGTATTGGAAACTTCACTATGACAGATTATTCATAGACTCTTCAGATATTGATTGCACACCTATGTAATCATTTTTATAGCATGCAATATTATTTATGGTGTTTATGGATTCCTCCTGCGTCTTTACCTAGAATCTGGAAAATAAGAATAAGCTAATGTGCTCTAATGTACTGATTCACTCTCTATAGACGTGGTCTCTTGAAGTTGGGCATGGCCAAAATCACTCAAGTGGATTTCCCTCCTCGAGAAACCGTCACATACACAAAAGAAACCCAGACCCCAATCTTGACCCAGGAAAACGAAGGCAAGTTATGACTGTTTATTATCTTAATAATATGTCACATGCTACATTTTTTTTTTTTACTTGACTGATGTTACAGGTAAATTAAAAGAGCAGTCCACCCAATACTGATTTCATTTTTTACCAGGTAGAGCTTTAGTCTACAAAGTGGTTGAATTCAGTTTGGGGTAGATGCCAGTGGGTTGACTTTCCTTTATCTTTACCTTGTAATCCTGCAAACACATGTCCTGTCGTAGGATGGCTATGCAGGGAACCTTTGTGGTATTCCATACTTCTTTTTCCTTATATAGGAAGGTTGGGGGAATTGGGTGTTTCCAGAAAGAAGATAACATTGTGCTTTCAGTTCAGCTCGCAAGTAGTGACAAGGACACGGTATTGTTGGCACAATCATCGGGTATTTTCTGTACTTGCCAAAAATGCTCCAAGGCATCAGAGCTACCCTAAGGCCTTGTTCACTTGGGCTTCAGCTTGTATGAGATAATTATAAAGCTTTAAGGATGTTTTTAGCAGCATTGTGGAAGCCTTTAAAGTACCATTTAGCCCCAGTATTAGGGGAAGGTTAAAGGATAACTAAACTGAAGAACAGAAATGTAATATATATTGCAGCTTACCAGTCCTTATCAGTTTTTCATGTTGAGAATAATTTCCGCAAGTACAGAAAATACTATTCTGTTAAATTTACCAGAAATGCAGTTGTTCCTCTCACTTCTTGCGAAAAGCAAAAACAAATTCAGCCCACATGTAATAGAGATGAACAAAGGCAGGCATGTTTTTTAACAACCATGGCTCCCTCCATAGAAGGGAGTGAGTGTATCCACCTAGGGACAGGAACTGTTCACAGAATTTCCAGGTGAAAATAAAGGATTTTGATGCCTGAAAAAAGAAAACTAATGCTGGCAACACATCTAGGGACTGCTAAGCTGCAGTATATTACATTTTTGTTTTTGGTGTAGATACAGTTTAAATTCTTACACAGAATATAAAATGCACATATTTGCTTGTTAAGAATTAAAAGTGAATAGACCTTGACCTTCTTTATACTGTATTGGCAAGACAACTCTCGCCTCTTCGTCGAATAAAGAAAAAAAACAGGCTGTGAAATAAAATGTAATGTCGCACGTGATACGGTTTACGCATTATATATGTATGTATTCATTTGCTTTTAAAAGCTGTTAAGTTGAGAAGAGATAAAGTGATCTTATGCCAGGGTTCAGAGACTGCTCTTGGAAAATGCAGCTGGAACAACGGAGCTCTCAGCGAAATAAATGAACATACATTTCTTCTTTTATTCTTGGATGCATCTGTAAATAGCTGTGTGACAGGCACCTGAAATCATCTTCCGAGCGATCGGGAAGGGAGTTTTAGATTAGTGTAGGCACTGTGGAAATGTGTATACCCCATACTCCGTGAATAAGTCTGCAGAGGGGTTAGACCACAGCTGTGCGCTGCAGTGTAGAGCTGGGCACAAAATCCCTTTTATTTATTCACGGTTTGAGCATAGTAATAATAATGTTTATTTATATAATGCTCATCTCTCAGCGGGATTCTAAAATGACTCGCAGTTACAAGTAAAAACCTGAAAATGCACAAAGAGAACAAACACAATATAAATATAAAAGATATAAAAGAACAGAACGCGGTGATTGGAAGGCATGTGTGATTGTGGTAAATAACCACAACTTCAGCTCGGCTTTCAGAGAATGGCAGTGACTGATTAGGGCTTGCTCAAGAACATTGTTTCCCCATATGCGAAGGTGTCTTACAGCTGTCAATCATTCATGGATTTAGATGTAGGTAGCTTATTTAATAAAACAGAGAGCAAAGTGAAGAAACCTATAGAAACATTTGCTCTTTGTTGTAAGTTACTAAACATGGACCTTGATGTAATAGCAGGCAATCGTTTTATCTATGGGTGACTACAAATCCCATTAGATTCTCCTCAAGAGGTAAGAGGCGGCAGGGTTAACTAGTTGGTGTTCCCAACCGATCCATGTAGTTTTCCCCATAAAAGATAAGTCCAGATGGCCAGTCAGCATTATTGTGCCTGTATATGCACCTCTCTTGAAAATAAAGAGGTCATGATCTCCAGCTCCATCTGATCGCCATTTTGTGTGCTCGCTTCAACCTTTTCCTCCTGTCACAGAAAGGTAAGAAGTCATTATTATAATAGTTGCTTATGAATCTTTATCAATTACTAAATTAAGTGATTTTAAATACAATAGCATCAAACACTGGACTGTGACAGCATACCAAACCTTGGCTTAAGTTAAATATTGGGATCTCCAGTGCCATGATCTGACCATTGTCTCTGCCAACTTGATGTCTCATATTAATCCTCCGATTTCCCCAATGCTGCTGTAAGGACTTACCTTACATGATGCCTCTTGATCCGATATTCTTCTTTCTAGTAGTTTTAAGCAGTCCTTCCAGCGCTGTTGCCGGTCTCTGATCCAGCGCAGACTGCTGTTTCTTCCTGTCCCACGGAGTCTGCTTGCTCACGGCTGTGTCACTCCTCCTCCCCCCTCCGCTAATATCCACTGCGCATGCGCCCGCACACATCCTCCTGCATGGTCGCTCGAGAAGCTACAGTTCTACAGCAGGGAGCGAGCAGTGGAGACAGAGGTACGTTTTCACCGATTTTGCTAATTTTTTAATTATTTTTCAAATGTTTTTGCATATATCTACTGTGTACTACTACTACTACTGTTCTAATAGCTATGTAAAAAAAAAAGAGAGACTTTAATGTCACTTTAATGTTCTGCTTGACCAGCGTCCCGAATAAGCAATATTTTATCCTTATCTTGTCCTATTTTTTAGAACCTGTTGTCCAGTCTTCTCCTTTTTTATCATCAGAATCTAAGCACTGATGAAAGGGGAGTGCTAAATTCACGGCACACTGGTTTTTTCTTGTGATCACCTGTCACGCAAAATAAACATTTGCTGAGCTTAACTAATTCTCTTTAAATGCAGGAATTAATTTTCCAAACTTGCACTCCGATATCATCTCCTAGTGCCAGGCTCTCGGCTGTACATTTTGTGTAAATCTTTTGTCAACTTCCATGTCCAGTATGTTCATAGAAGTACAGGAAAGGTGCTTGGAAAGAGGACACGTTGTGGAGCAGAGATGGGCTAGGCAATGCTTCTTGAACTTCAGTCTGTTGTGTTACATCATCACAAGCATTGCCATGATAAAAGTACAGATTTTAGGTATGATGTCCATAAGTTTGCTACACCTTGCACAGCTGCCACTTGAAACTGTATGCAATTTTTTCCCTTAGCTCATCCCCCCCATTCCCTGGACCTCTGCAGCAGTTTTTTTAATTTAGAACTGTCTACAATGGTACATGTTTTTGAAATAAAAGCTCAGTTTTACACTTTACATGCATCATAATCCTGTTCATGCATAACAGGCCAAAGTTAGTGGCGCCATTTTCAAAATGGAGCATAGACCCGATTTACTGAGCTATAACAAACCTTATTTGCCATAACAATCGGTATTTTCACCACTGAGGCATGAAAGTAACAGCCACAACAGTTGAAAATAACAATATTGATGGCAAATAACAGTTTACAGCTTGGTGAAATGAGCCTTCTTGTAGTATTTTATTTTTCAGCAAAGTGGATTTATGCCGTAAGACCAACTTCAGGAAAATTAATTCTAAAGCTTTGGGGAGGTGAGTGTAATGCATAAGCTTCCCCTGTGGCATCCTTCAGGAGGTGAAATTCTTTTAATACTTTATTATTCCTGCTCTGATTTCATTAACATTGTGATTTCTTAACATGCTTCTGGTCACTGAATGTTGCCTGACAGCATACTGGGAGGTCATAAAATGCTCACAGACTTCATCAGTTCTGACACTGAAGAGCAGAGGACAGGGACCCGAAAACGTGGTGGGCAACAGGAAAAAGGGTTTAAAACCATAGCTTGTAAAGGAATTAACAGAGACCTTACATGTTGCACTTAACTCTTCCAAAGTTCTTCAATGAATCTTCCTAAGCCACATGCAGCTAATATTAGCAAATACAGCTAATATACACAGAGAGTATAATCCACTATTTCCTTTTCCTGTAGAATCCACTTCGCTGTTTATGGAGATTCTGTACAACAGAGTCCCTGTCATCAAACACTGTTGTAGGAGGACGAAGGGATTGGCTTGGGATTCAGGTCTTGTGTGCTGCCTGTGCACGGTCCGACTGTGAGCGTGCACGTCAGGGTACACTGGGCCTCCAGGGAGACCTTGCATGGCAGTGTAACCACCCATAAGGAGGAAATGAAGTTTACTGTTGTTCTGATGGCTAATTTTTCTGAACAGATAGGGTGGCTGAAAAAGGAGACTGCAAACAAAGAACTTTATGAGGTATAGTGCTACATATTTTTTTTCTTCCATGCAGGGTTTTATAACATTATAAACAGGGAATATAGTAAATATGTATAGTTAATATATACTTCCACATTGCCTCCATATTCAGCGATGGAGGTAACGCAAGTAACCCTGCCACCACCATAGTACTGATCACCCATTAGCTCCCCTTTATGACATTCTTTGTATCCTGCCACTTCTTGTCATTTATTCTTTATTTTAATAGAAGGCTCTTGTTAATTGAGCTCAATTTTCCCATTAAGCTTTTGTTTTAGAGAATTAATCTAAATTCCGACTTGTAGCATGCCTGTGTGTTCGTCATGCATAAAGAATAGGTTATCCGCGGGATTGCCTGCCTGCATCTTTCTCTGAC